TTCGGCTTTATCGAACATGAATAACGTATGACGTAATTGCTAAAGTGTGCACGCAGCACATATATAGCTTTGTTGATGGCGGATAACTTTTAAAAATCTGTCGAGAAAAGGGAAGCAAAAGGGAGAGAAAGAGACAGACAAGGAGCGTTTCGTTCCGAATCCCAAAGTGTTTCAGAAACTTTGTGTGTGAATCTACGAATTACGGTCGTCTTGCGCGAGCCAGGCCTAAAACACTTGGCTAGACACGACGGACCTTGAACATAAAATGCTGTCTGGGCGAAACTCCGGACTCATTCGGGACACAGCGCGGAATAATGGAAGTTCCGAATGCGGCGCGTGGTTACGGGGGCCACGGGCGCAATATCGGCTTGATTACGTTAGAAATCAGAAACTGAGACTAAACTAAGCTCAATCTTCGAGGGATGGTGGTGGTGGCACTGGCGGCGGCGGCGGACACGGCAGCGGCGGTGGCGGCGGCGGTGGCGGTGGCGACGGCAGCGGCGGTGGCGGCGATGGTGATGGTGGTAGCGGCGACGATGGTGGCAGCGGCGGCGGCAATGACAGCAATGGTAGTCGGGATTACCAACGACGCGAATTAATTCCACGGCCCAAGTTCTTCGACGAAGTTCTCTCGCGTCTGCGAACGAATCGTCTCCGCGCAATTACCGGAGGGACAGGGGGATGAAAAGGGGAGAAAGAAAGGGAAGAGGTATAATTCTTATCACGTCAAAAAAGGTCCTGACGGTCCTGACTTCCGAGGTACGTTATTCGGACAGACGGAGGCGCACGTCTCTCGCGCGGTATAACGTTTCGAGATGAAGATGGCAGCAACGTGCCCCGCTTGAAGATATCTCGCGAAGTAAGTTTGTGGATGGACCGCGCGCGGGGAGGTGGTTCACCGAGGAATTGAAAAGTCCGTAAAAGAAAACCGACCTTTTGTCCTTGAGATACGCGACTCGCGGAACAATGAAATGACCCGGCCATCCGCCCTAACTCCATTTTCATATTCCGGACATAATGCAACCTCCCAAAGCGGCCTTTTGCTCGAACCAGCGATTTTTCGAGTTTCCTCGCTGTCCTCCTCCCCTCCCCCTTCTCCTCTTCTGTTTGTCTCTAAAAGTGAGCGTTTTGAGAAAGATCCCATCGTGCTACATACTTTTTTTCTCTCTTTTCCATGAGGTTTTCATTAACTGAAGAACCCGATAGCTCTCTACGAAACGACGGGCGTCTCTCGCGTGAAAAGCAGCGGGAAATCGGTGATAATTAAATTCGATAAGAAGGGACCCGCGCCCGCGACGACCGACGTCTCGCTTCAGTTTCCGGAAGAAATATCGCGCGTCATGATATATTACACCTTGAGCATCGTATATTCGGCGTACATTCGACGGGCCCGAATCCGCGCTCCCCCGAACGAACGGAAAGCGTATTCCCTCTTATCGTCGCGAAGTCATTTGTGTATAAAAGCCGCCTGCACACGCGAAGACACCCGCAATACGTACGTGGTCTTTACAAATGCTGAATCCTCGCGCACGCCAGGTTCTTCACGCGAACGCGAGAACCTCGGCACAGTTGCGAAGTTCCCGGGCGCATGCGAGATCCTTTGAAATACGAGAGCCTCGTACATGCGAGATTCTTACACGCGCGAACACTTCCGGATGATCGCTCGGTTAGGAACGCGACGGCGCGACGTATTACAAAACGACACCGATACGTGCCTTCTTGAGAAAACTCGAGATTCGCGAGACGCGTCGTGCCGAAATTGCATATTACTGTCGATTAATTTAATTCTCATTTGCATGGCATCAATAATTTAATAAGCGCTTCGATAAATTGGATTCGCGAAACTGAAGCATCGTTTTTGAAATATATCGCATATGAAACATATACTATAGGATTTTCATATGCAATATGTTTAAAAATAGGACCCCAAGGTGTCTATTTAACCCGAAAAGAAATTCTCTGAAAATTCCCTGATTTTCAAAACAATTTGTTAACAATTTCAGGTAAAATGAAAATATTTTTAAATGTATCTTATGAATAAATATATATTTATTGTGCAAATATTGTCTTTAACGTTTCCCATTCACAAAAGTTTATAAATCACAAAATGAAATTGAGACTCCCTCAAATTTCAATAATTAAATTTTAAAAAAATATAAAAGAAAAACTATAAAAAGGACTCTAAATTAAATATTTTATTGTGTAAAATTTTCAAATTTTATTGTCAAATTTATTTACAAACAAAAAATTATATAATGCATAATTATATAATGCATAACCGGTGCAGAATTCAATTTTTATAAAGCTTTATTAAAATAAATATCTATCTTCATTAAATAAAATTGCATGTAACACAAAATCATTATCTTTAATATTGTCATATTATCATTAGTAGTAAAATCAATGTGTTCTAATGTTTAAAGTGAATGGGTCCATTGTTAACATGAAAAATTCAGTCAATAAACTCCAGATTATCATATAATAGAAACAAAATATTAAAAAAAACACTTTCAAAAAAGTCTCCTAATTTTTAATAAAATTCCCTGAGAATTCTCCGATCTTTCAAACAATATACACAAATTCCCTGAGAATTTCAAATTTTTCCAGGTAGTAAACACCTCGTGCGAAATTATCGGAAAACGACGCGATCGTCGATCCAATATGGCGCAGAAATTTTCGTGCGGGCGGAAACTTGCTTTATTTTTCTCCCTAATTGTAAATAATACGATGACGTGCGCGCGAACGCATCGTGCGTACAGCTATCGTCCGGCGCAGCGGCGATCGTTGATTGCAACTTCCGTCGAGGGCCATTCACATCGCATCGCGACTCGCACACGAGAGAAAGAGAACTTTCGCAACGATTCGGCGCACGATTGCGCACGAACCCTTTGCAACTCTCGGATTATTCTCGTTGTTTCGTGCGGGCGTTCAGTTGTTGCGAAATTCTGCCGTCGAGTCCGCCGGGCGCAAGGGGCAAAGGGGTTAATTTTCCATCATACGTCTCAGTATGGAAAAGTACGGGGAGAGCCGGTCTACGCGGGTGCTTCAATTCCCACTTCAAAATTAAACGTGATATTCCGCGCGTATCCCGCGATGTAACATTAGTTCCCCGTGTTTAAAACGGTAAATATGTCAGGAAAAAAAAAACAACTTGATCTCTCGTGTTTAAATGAATCGTTACTGAAAGCAACGCGATGAACCCAAGGTAAAAATCTGGATATTAATTCCGAATAAAACGCTAACAGAGCAGGGAACATAACAATTACGAGTTCTGAACGCTAAAATCTAACAATCAGATGACGCATAAAGATACAAAGAACCCATTACATTGCAAGGACTGTGAGAAAATGTCGAGAAGTTATTTGATTATAACGATGATTCATGCTTTTTTCGCTTGTAACTCACTTTAGAATTGTACTCGACGAAACGTTTTTTATAATATGTTTGAAATTCCGATGGAAATGACAATTCATTGTGTCGTATCTCCCCCAAACATAACATAGAAAATTCAAAGGGAAGATCCGTAAATGACTTTTTTCAATCGGCATATTTTATAATGAAAAATAGTAAAATAAGCACAAATGTGCGCTCAACTGGGAGAAGATGCTTATTATTAATAACCAGCACGTGCACAACGTGAATATTTTATTATGCAATAAGAAAATATTTATCTCTCCGAGGAATTTAAATAAGGTAAGAAAACGATATACGTATATTGACTCAAAAAACAGGAATGATCAAATTTGCACAATATTCTATATTATTAATACGATACAATATAAATAACAATATAAATCAAGTTATATTTCGACTCAATTATTTATTGGAAGCCGCATAAGAATCATCTAAAAATTTAAATATTTTTTTAAAATATATTTATCATTTTGTTTATTTAATTATATTCGTTTCTTTATTTTTGTTACTGTTTATATTTTTCATCCTTTTGAGTCTTTTCATACTTTCTTTTATAATTTATTGCATATTTTTAAATGTTTATAGAGCCTGGCAAATTTTATAAGAATTACGTCGTTAATATGACGAATAAAAATTATCATATTTATTATCATTTAAATAAAATGCATTAATAATTACGTCAAAGAAAAATTTTGACATCCGTCGCCCCACTTTATAGATTTTTGCGCTTGATAAAAAAGAGCCATTCAGTTAACAACACAAAAAAAATTAGTTTTAAATCAAAACTGCATATTTTCATATATAAGCAAGAATATTATAATCTTAGAAAAATTTTAGTATTGAGACAGATATATTTTCATGTGTAAGCAAGAATTATAATCTTCATATAAAAGATTAGTCTTGAGCAAAATTGCAATATAAATTCAAGATTAAAATTTTTAATAAGATTATAACACTGTATTTTTGCTTATATGTGACAATATTTATCTTGATTTATGATAAGACTAATTTTTTTCTGTGCAAGCCCTCCTAAACAACAGAACAAACATTTTATTCAATGCATACTTAGCTTGATTATTCAATTAAATCAATTTGTAATACAACTGATAATTCAATTAAGCTACACATGATATGAATAAAATTTACTACAAATTCGCACGATGCTTGCAAAAAAAACTTCAGATAAAAAGGTCGAACAAACAGGTATCATTAATAATGACAATACTCTTTCCGCGAGTAAATTAGAAAAAAAAATCGGAGTCGAAGATAACATTACGCGAACGCGATTACAGCATTTTCCTCATGGCTGAACAATGAAGTTAAAATCTACATCTCGCGTGGGGCCGCGCGCTATATCGCGCTCCGAAGAACGCGTGGAGACATGCGGCGGGCGGACTTCTCAAGAAAGGATGATGATTCACGAGAGGCGTATACATAGGCGAGCGCACGCATGTACGCACGTACGCACGCACACGATCGCGCGAACGAGTCACGTCCTCACGGCGTCCCAACGGCGAGACGAGCGGGGGCGACGGACGTGCCCACCGGGGGCATAACGGTAATAATATTCTGGAGTTTTGACTCACCGCTCTCGATGTACGGCACCAGCAGCAGCAGCAGCAGGAAGAGAACATATCCGCACGTGTCACTGATCATCGTAATACAATATTCCCCGCTACAGCCGGGACACGCCGCGCGCTGGATACCTGGCGTCGGCCTCGCTGTAACACCTCCTCTCGCGGGGCAAGAGGCAGCACAAACAAAACAAAACCTCGGCTCAGGTCGGCTCGGTGCGGTGCGACGCGACGCGGCGCGGCGCGGCGCGGTCGCCAGCAACAGGGTTGACTGCGACGAGGACAACGAGAAAGGGAACGACGCTCTCATCCGCGAGACGCACCACCTCTTCCACCTCCACCTCCTCCTCCTCCTCTTCCTCCTCCTCCTCCTCCTCTTGCTCTCTCCACACTCGTTTTCCTTTTCGCTCTTCAGCGGCACTGCACCACACCACCGACTTGTCTCGGGCACCACGACAACGGCAACGGCGATGACAACGATGACGATGACGATGACGAATTACCTCGCGCTTCGCTCGCTCGCGGCAACGAACGACGACGATAATCGACGTGGACGACGGCGACGAGGACGCGCGCTGCTAGAACGGACGACGCGGCAGACGATTGGACGCTGCGCTCGACACGGCCACCGCCACGACACGACGAACGAATATGAACGCGGCGCGCGTCTCTTTCTCTCTCTCTCTCTCTCTCTTTCTCTTTCTCGTGCCTTCTTCCCTCGTTGTCGCTCTCCTCTTTCCCCTCGCGCTCGCTTCCTCTCGTGCTCACTCTCTCTTTCTCTCTCGTTTCCGGAGCGCGGTCGAGGTCTACGCCATTATTTTCCTGTCGGGATTGCGCCTCGTACGCGGACACACCGCCACGACCATCGACGTCGACCGACGCAACGCGCCCACGCACGCACAACACGAATTCAGTCCACCCCTCGTCGATTGACTTCCGCGACTAACTTCACGCGTTGCGCCTCGCACTCGTTCGCTCGCTCGCTCGCTCGCTCCGCTCCGCTCCGCTCCGCTCCGACTCCGTCTCCGTCTCCGTCTCGCTTTCCCCACGGCTCCGTTCCGCGCCGATAACAGCTCGTACTCACACACAGCAAACAGCTGACAGGGGCTGCCGCCGCTTGTTTCTTCACGCACGGCGCGACAAGGACGACGACTCGATATTTAACGGCATCGCATCGCAGCGCGGCAACAAAACACACGCACGCACACACGCTCACCTGGGACTGGGGGGAAGTCGTGCGCGCGCGAACAGTCGCCACCGTCGCCGCTCTGACACAGTCCTGCCACCTTCGCCTCTCTCTAGCCACGACGACGTGCGTGCGCGCGATGCGAAACGCCTGACTGTCTCTGGGCGACCGAGAAACCATACCGTGAGATGGCGGCGGCTACCACCGTGCTCGGCCGCCATCGCGCCTTCTCGCGTGACGTCACACGGCATTGACGCGACACCGCTGCGCACGAAACATAGCAACATACACATCGCTCGAGCTGCTCTGGCGATCTCTCTGCGAGAAATCTCTGCGTAATGTTTGTTTACATATTATATGTTGGCTGGGGTTTCGATAGATAGCTCGTTTAATCGGTGGTTGAAGAATGATAAATAATGGGATAAGTGTGAATTTGTATACACACACATACGTATAATCGTCTCTCAATACCCATTTCTATCAATATTAATTTTAATTAAATTAAAAGAATTATTGAAATTGAACTAAAAAAAGAATAAAGAATAAATTAAAAACGAGATAAATGTTAATCCATTTATTTAGAAATGAATATAAATATTTAATTTCTTAAACTTCATGGAAAGTATGACGAAATGGATGTTACGTATTAAAACTCTTGAATTTCAAAAAATTTTAAAAATGAAATGTATGTCTATGTATCAAAATTCTTAAATTTCGTATGAAGCATCGCATCTGCACTTTAAAATGCGAAATTTGTAATAAAATAAATAGATTTCTTTTCATTTTTACAAAAAGCTTGTGCGAAAGTTAATCCTAAAAATTTCAATCGGATATTTTTTTCTTTCACTAGTAATTTTGTAACAATTTATCTTTATGAAATTTATATATATCTTAAAAACAAAATTAATACAAATAGAAAGGAATTTTCATATAAATTTTCATATTTATAACTGAATTATTGTAAGTTTTAATTTCAAAAATTTCTAATTAAAAAAAAATACTAACAAAAATATTAAATATTAACATTTTAATTTTATTATTGAAGCCATTCTTTTTTCTTTAAATAAATTTTTTTCTTTAAATAAATGAAATCATATGTCGTTAAAATATATAGAAAATAATTAGATTCTTTACGCATTCCTTATGCAAGATAAAATTAAAACAATAATAATATAGAATTATTATTTATAATAATTACAATAAAATCATTTTATATTTTTTTATATTATTTTATTAATTGTTTTATTAATAAATATAAAAATATGAATGAATTAATAAATAAAATCATTTAATATTAAATTATAACCTATAATGTAAAATATAATTTTATCATTAGAATAAAATTTTAGATTATTGCAGAATGCAACGATTAAATTTCATTTAATTTTTTAAAGGAATCTTTTACCGCAGGAAATGATACTTATAATGTAATATTTAACGTAATGTATTCAAAGTAAAATATAATAAAATATTTAATTAACAAATTAGGTCCGTGCTTCCTTAATATATGTTAGCCTTACGATCTCTCGTTTCTCGGCAAAGTTCTTAGCAATGAACGAAATCGCTGACAGTTTTGGTTAAAATTCAAAAATTTTACTAGTGAATCAAATATTTCAATATAAAATATGATGAAACCGCACAAATTCCACTTTTTATTAATAACAAGTAAAAATCTGATATACGGAATAAAATTATAAAAGCTATTCATTATTATTCCGCTTGTTTATTTTTTATTCAAAAGTGCAATGTGTTAACCTAACATGAACATAATCATTCCTAATTGTGACGTACTGTTAAAAATAAAATTAATTTAAAAGTTAAATTAAAAGAGAGTCAATAAAATTGCATATTTCATGTAATATTCTTTGTTTCTCAGAGGGCCCTTTGGAAGAAATAATTTATTAGATGCAAAAATTTGAAGCAGTGTACCGAAATCTATGCTATCTATCGAAGCCGTCTGTTTAATCGCTAATTACCTAAATCTTTAACGAATGGAATCCAAAAGAATCCACTTGGATGAAAATGCGTCCGACAATGAGTTCGGATGAATCCATAAGTACGGATCGATCCGCGCATGTCGCTCGGTACACGGATCATCCATCACGGCGTCCTAAGGAACAAATATCTGCCTCGAAAAATGCACAAACGGAATACGAAACGCATTTATCGCAAAATGCTGCGTATTTCTCAACATATGAATCTGGTAGTAAGCAGCGTATATTCAACTCTTTGAATCAACCTGAAAAATAACTCCATTTCCTCGGCGCGCTTCCACCTCGTTTCCGTTTTCAATTCTCCGTATTGCGAGTATCGTTTCTCTTTTCGTTGTTAAAAGCCGAAATACATCTGAGCTTAATACATCAAAAACGATTACAATGGCGTCCGCGTCGGGATGTATGAAAATGAATGGACGGATCGATTTAATTAAATTAACTCCGGAGAAACTCTCGGCAATCGTCATTTCCGCTCGCATTAATATAATATCTATCTCATAATTACATACATAATTATTGTCATTCCGCGAGTATTATCGGATCAGGATATTAATCCTTAGATTGAATTCGCAGCGACAGCGTTGGATCAGCATAGTACGTATCGCGAACGGCGCGCCAACAATACAGAGAATCAGCGACACGTGACGAAAAACATCGAGAAAACGGATCAAAAACATAAAGGTGTTGATACGCGCAATATCGATTTGTCACGCAGACGTCGGTCGGGCTCCTGCGCCAGGCTGCGTCTATGGTGCGTGACATTTTGCCGTGCGAAGAAAAGATGTTCCGAGCGCGTTTTGAAAAGGCCGGCAAGACGATTTCTCGAGCGAATAAAGGTGCGAGGTAAAGAATGCCCGGAGAAGCCCGACGAAGCGATCGCCGGTGTGTCAACCATGCCGCATCGAGATGCCCCGCATCGAGATGCCCCGAAGAAAGCCAGAAGAAGTCGTAAACGAGACGAAGCGGTGGAAGTCGCCGATAAGGACGCCGCCGAGGATATCAGAAGGGAGGAAAGAAGAGAGAGGAAAAAAAGGGAGAAGGAGGAGAGGAAGAGGATGGAGGCGATGAAGGAGGAGGAGGAGGAGGAGAAATGGGAAAAGAGGGAGAGGCGTAAGCGCGAGGAGCGTGTTACTGTATATCCTGTGGACACGGATCTGGTGACGCGCGATGACGTCGTCGTCGAGGATCATCGGGCGCCCGGGCAACCGCCACCGCCGTTCACGGACTTCACGAAGAGCTGCTGTTACTTGTGCGCCCAGAACACACTGGCGATCGCGGCCGCCGCCGCCAAGCCGGAGCAGTCTGACAAGTGCGTCCAAGTTTCGGCTCATAAATTTCGTGCGGAGATGTTCCCGACGCTCGATAAGAGCTGCAGCCCGATACTGCTGGTGCGCATCGTGCAGCCGTCCGTCAAAGTGAGGACACGGGAGACCGGCACGCCCTGTCCCGGCACGAGCGCGGTGCCGCGGACGAAAAAGCGCAAGAAGTTCACTATGTTTCCCAGGTTGACGCGGACGAAGTGCCCGGCGGGACGGCATGCCGCCTGCGAGACTGATAAGTCGACCGCCAGGCGCGACGATAATGCGGAAAAACGCGAGCCGAGGAACGAGAAGTGCTGCAGGGAGAAGAACGCTTGACACGTCACGAATTTTACGAAACTTACCCCCGGGCTAATTGATGCCCGACTACTCAAACGGAAAGAATAATTATATGCACACCGCGTGAACCATTAACTTTCCATTCTATCGCTTCATAATTAACGCTTCATAATTAACGACTGCGATCGAAGCTTGTAATTATTACCTACGTACTTTTCCCATCAAATTTTCTTCGTAGCTGGAGATTCGTGCATGATTTAAAAACGAGAAACTTTTGTACGCACGTGTGTATTTCTTCGTTAAAGAGAAGAGGAAGAAGGCTTTCGCCTCATAGAATATATTTTATTGACGCAGAAGCGAGAGTACTTATTCAAAGACCCTCTCTCTTCTCGATACTACTTTTACGTTTTTCTTTTTTTCTTGCGTGCGTTCGATAATTCAGGATACGCCTTTTTCATTTTTAAGCTACATTGCTGCGGCGCTCCCATAAACTTTACATGGAGATGCGCGACCCTAACTCGGGTGTATATTTGAATTGCACGTTGCATACGAATCGCCTCGATAACACATGTAATGCTGCGGCTCCGGCCCATATCTCTTCGTCGATAAATTATACTCTGCCGCGTAAGCTTTGTTCCATTTACGCGGGCGTAAGCGAAAGACGTTAAACTATGCATAGTAGTTCGAATCAGAATCTTACGTACACATAATTATTTCATCGGGCACAAAACTTCCTCATCCCTCTTGCATCTCTTGTTCTCCGTAGATTTTCCGTCACAAAGTTTAAAGAACGATAAGGAGTTTCCTTTTTATCCTGCTCTTTATTAAAGATGGTAAAGTGCAGGCTTCTCTCCCCGGCGCGTTTTATGCCTTTCAATTAAATCGCTTCTTTGTGCCTGGTTGCATAAGATCTCCGAGGACAAGTGCAGCTTTTCTTGACGGCCGCTTGAAAAATAAAGAGCGTGAGACGTCGGGCACTTCGTCCGTATTAACGTCATCTCCATATCGTTTCCATATTATTTTCGCGTGTTTCCTGCATAGTATTTCCGTACGGTCGTTTATGTCGTTTCCGCGTCGCTTGCATACGACCTGCCACTCGGATGGAATCCTGTCATGGAAACGTGTAAAGTCGCAAGTAAATTCAGAGCTCGTCCATTTCTCACATTCTCCCATTAAATGCGTAATCCTCATATTTCATATAAAAACAAAATCGATCTAAATGATTACCGTGTATGAGAGATTTGAAGTTACTGCCTCCATATCTCTTGTATGAGTATCGTCGAAATGCAATCTTGTTCGGTTACCGAGAAAAAAATATCACGAGTAAATCCAGTCATCTATTTCTCATACATCCCCGTAGGTGTTACATAAATCTATAATTACCACATTTTATATACAACAAAAACAATCGATCTAGAAAACAACTGATAAAAATCTATGCTGATAAAAGTCTATGCCACTGTTTTACTTGAACACAATCTTATCTTTTCCTCCGCCAAAAACGCAGAAAGTCGCGAATAAATTCAGATTTACATAATCTATTACATAGATTTACATAATCTATTTTGCACAAAACCGCAGTCGGAAGTAAATAAATATCTAATCAGATTTTTATGTACAACAGAGTTTTAAAAGTGATCTCAAAAGTCTCATAATCATCGAAAGAAGTCACTTTGCAATTAACACACTCTTGGCATAAATTTTTTTTAAATTATACGAATAATATCTAAATTTATATATCAAGGTGAGGTAAAAAAAAAAGAGAAAAGCAGAAGCAACACCGAGGACGTCGCAGTGGCCATCAGAAGGTCTTATTGCACCTCGCGGTCGCCCGGCCGACGATCGACCAAGTAGTTCGAGTCTACACTGCGTCAGACGATATCTGAGGACGATACGACGGGTCGGGTCGGCAAGCTAGAATTCGCGTCATCCGACAAAGGGGCCCCGAACATCAAAGGCGCCGCGTAGTACGGTAGAAGAGGGTACTGGGTGGTCGGGAAATACGTCGGTGGAAAGAGTCCCTGCCTTTGCGCGATCTTTAGTCTGGACGTGAGCTGCTTCTTCCACTTGGTGCGACGATTTTGGAACCACGTCTTGATCTGTACCTCGGTGAGATTCAGACACTTGGACAGCTCCATTCGCTTGCTCACGCTGAGATACTTGTCGATCTGCGAGAGTCAAAATTGTATGAGGCAAATTTTGCAGAAAGGGAAGAAAGAGGGAGGGAGAGGGGGGTTGGAACGAGCGGTGATTGCACAAATGAGAGGGGAACCGCGAATCGTACCTTAAATTCCGCTTCAAGTCTTTCCAGTTGTTTCGCACTGTAAGCTTGACGTGGTTTCCGATCGATACCCGGTTTTCTCGACCTCCTGCCACTCGGTTTAGGTGCTGCAAAAATAATCAATGCTCACGTCATCGCACTAAAAAATTATTGCACATCGCGTGATCGATAATGTCAACTACATTAGTCATTACTAATTACGTGAGAGTATTGCGCGTGATCGATAATGTCAACTATATTAGTCATTATTAATTACGTGAGAGTCTCTTAAAATTTCTGACATTTCTTTTTCTCAAATTTGGCACTTTCGAAGATTTATCGCCGTGATAATTAAAATTTAATATTCTAATCGCGTGTCTTAATTGCACGGCTAACTTCGCCAGCTCGGGCTCAATTATCACCTTACGATTTCGAAGCATCACCCGTCGAGTCCTGTCTAGGATCATCGAACATTTCTGAAACATGTGTGGGACTGTTTGCGGAATGTGTGACATCCTACAGTCAACATCATCGAGGTGAAGCGGTAACGAGCTATGAAAACAGTTTATGACGGAGAACGTTTGGATGCGATTATCATCGTAGTGCAAAGAAGTACTACATATTTCCTTTGAAAAGCAGATATAAGACATTATAACATAATTAGATGCGTTAAAATAATAGCTGGATTGTTAACCGCGTTGGTAAATATCCGTGAATAATTCGTGTTAGGATGCAAATATCAAAGCGCGACATTTTAATGTAACAACAATAACTATTTTAGTACTACCGTGTGCCGAAGTAAGTAGATACATTCTTTCTTGTTTGATATTAAAAAATTAAAATTAAAACTTTATATTACGAGAATATTATTTAACTTTTAAAATAATGTAAAAATATATTACTTATATAATTTAACGGAAATCCGAATAGTTACTTTTATATCATTTATTTTATATTGAATAATATTTATAATACGATTATGCGTTTTTTTATTATTATCTATTTTTAATATTCTTATATTTATATATATTTTTATATATAAATTACAAAAACATTGAAAATGTAAAATAATAAAAAATCGCATAATTTTATTATAAATATATTATTTTATATGAAATGAATGTCAATAAAAATAAGATATATTCAGATTTTCATTAAGTTAAATCATAACGTATATATAAAAGTAAAGCTAATTTGAAAATGCTATATTATTATAAATATGAGATATATAGAGATTAAATCGTTTATATATGTAACAACAATTTTCTTTCTCTCAGTGATAAACCCTCAGTGTTTAAACCCTGAAAATAGCATAGACTCGCTTTCCAAGATCGCTATGTTTCCTCATAGAAATTGAAACCTTTTTTGCTCCTTCCTCGTGTTTAATCACCGGTTAGCCGGGCGGCCCTTACACGGAAAGTCAACAAATAGATGTCGCGTATTTGTACAAGACCTTTGCGTTTTTACAGAACCCTACTAGCGTTTCCACGACTATAGAGAACGACATAGTTTTCACCAGTTTGATAGTTTGTACCAGTTTGTAGAATTTGACATCTTATATCCTTTGTCGAAAATTTTATTTTTATTAATTTAAAATATAAATTATATTTACTTTCACAATAAAAAAAAACTCAGAGTTCCAGCAGAACACTTTTTAAAAATATATCAATATATTTTATCATTAAATTATGTTCCTTTTTTAATTCAAAGAAAAGATCTATGTTTCACGTATTTAAAGTAAAATAACTCACTTAATTCATAACGTTACGTTAACTGTTGTGCAAATTCGAAACTCTGCAGCTGATTTTATAGATTTTAAATGTTTCAACGTTTCACGTGATTCTTTATATTCAATAAAAAACTTGATTACGATTGTATACCAAGCAAATAATGTTTAAGAAGCGTTTCGTTTCTTTAGTCAGTGTAACAGCTTAAAATATCTAATCATTTTTCTAGGCAAAAGGCACGTAATATAAGTTTACTAAATATGATAAATTTAATTGTATTCCATTTGTGTATAAAATTCCAAAAATCGTTTTGTTATGCATCAAAATTGAGCGGATCAAAATATATAAGTTTGATACTTTACGGATTTCTTAAAAATTAAAAGACTGCTGAGATGACTGGAAAGGACAATACGTACACGGTGATGAAGAAGAAGAACCGGCGGGACCAAGATTTACGAGTGTACAGAGACATTTAACACCTTCGCGGAACATAGTTAGACCAACGGTGCTGACAAATGGGCTCCTAACAATATGGCGGATAGTAGTCAGAAAGAAAGAAACAACGCGATGGCGGATTTTAATCTTATCTTAAAGCCGCGAAATACTTGGGATTTCAACTAAGAATTGCTACATGATTTCATAACGTGGAAATTTCATTTTAGATTTTATAAATTTAGATTAATTTGATAATAATGTTAAGTGATAAGTAATTATATTGATAAAATTATAAATATAAATATAAAATATAAATAAATTAATATTTATAAGCATAATGGAAATTGTAAGAAATTTTTAATAGGATATTAAAATTATGCATAACATTGAACAACAGGAAAAATATAATATCACAAGATTTGATTATGTGTGATTTTTACGTGGTTAAGTATTTAATATTTCGCCAGTAACATGCCAAAAACAGGGGGATGCAACAACTGGGCCACTGATGTGTGCCTCGCGTGTCGAAAAGCTGTTATCGCAGGCGCCTCGTATAATATCCAATATTCGTCGAGGCCAAGAAAGAGGGTGCCCATCTTACACCTCTCTAGGCATTGTTCGCGAAAATAGAATTACGGCGGTAAGTTATTACGAGTGGATAATAATTAGAGTTCTTTGTCGTCGCGATTTTCCGATGGCGTTAGTATCTCAGACATAAAGAAAAAGCTCTCTTTCTAGCGTCGTGAAGATTTGTGCGCCTATGTATCTATAACGTATCTATAACGCATTTGTTGTACGTTTTTGTAATTAACTAATAGTACTAAACGCTTTTCAAACTTAAAAGAATTGAGTAATACATAAAAACATATTTACGCAATAAATTTTATTTTTCCAATGGTGAATTATGTTTCCTAAAGATAAGTTAAATTGGACTCAAAGATTCTTTGAAATTATGAAGAACAAAGATGAATATTAAATTACATTAATATAAAATTAATACAAATTATATTAATACAAAAATTTGAGATTACCTTGCAAACCAAATAACTGTCCAGGCTTTGTTTGAGCAAACCAGCTACTGTACAATAATGAGGCTGATGCGAGTGATGTTGCAGAATATGCAGAAGGATCAGATAATGCACCTTCGGAATACGGTAGTCCCGCGTGATACAAGTTTCCTTCTATATCTATTAAATTTCAATTATTAAATTGTAAAATTATTTTTTATGAAATTATTTGAAATTTCTTTATATATCGAAAGTTCTATTTGGACAAGATTTTAAAATAATATGTAATATAATGTCTATGTCTATGTAATTTATTTATGTTTATTTGTTTAGTTGCTGAAAAAAACAGTATGGAAACTTATAACTTTCTCTTTATCTTTAACTTTAAAATTTTAGGTAAAACATAACATCCAATATTTTCCATTGATATAATTAATTATTTTTTTTTTTAATTTATATTGTTTCTTATACACACACAGATACAAAAATTCTTTAAAAGAATAGTCTGATTTTCTGAAAGTGTTTATGATGCTTTATATACCAGAACGTGTAGCTGGTACCGCTGTCGGTTTGACAAAGTGCCCCTCTATCCTGTCCTCCGTTTCATCCTGATCTTCCTCTTTGTCGCCAGAATTGTTCATTCTCGAAGTTTCTCTTTTCTCATTCCTTCCAAGGATACTGTCGATAGTGAAAGCACTCGATGCGGCGATCGGGGATGAATTTCTTCTCTCGGTCTGTTTCTGAAATTCCCTGTAACCTTCGCAGCTGGAATCGGATGCATACTCAATAGACTCTCGATTGACAGTCGGCGATATACAGCCTCTCTCAATGTTATTTGAAAAAGCCTCCTCGTTTTCACTCGGAAGCGATCGTGTTCGGCGAAGATCATAAACGGCATCGTTCATTTTCTCGCGGTTTTGATAGAGTTCCATCTTGTAAAAAATCATCGATCTCGGTTACAGTCGATGATCCTAATCTCACTCGATCGACGACATATGTCAGCAATAATTTAAATTCGCGCACTTTACATTTAATACCGATTGAAATAATTCGATGATCTTTCCACGTCGTTCTCTTTTCTTTTAATTTCACAGTTGTTGGCATAAATTATTTGGCTTCGGTTATAAACATTATTTTTTATCACCATACAATAAAATTAAACAATTTTTTAATTAACAAATATACGGCAAAGAATATCTGCGAGTCAATCATAGATAGTTTAATACGCGTTTATCGTTTCGATCGATTACATCTGATCTCGTACTAATCTCGAACCGTCCGAAAGCAAGTACTTCCGAAAGTATGACAAGTGGCACGTGTCTGTGGTCCAGAGAAGGACCTCCCAGCATCCCCACCAGATCCCCACGGGAAGGTCATCCTGTGAGGCTGGAAGAATATCTCGCACCTTAGAAACCCCCACTTATCCGATATCTCTGATCGGAGTAGGGATCACGGGATTACGGCAGTTTATAGCTGAAATTTCCCATTTTACAACTAATAGCTTTCAAGTTTCACTGTATTATTTGTGAAATTTTTCCCATCTCTTTATGCGAGCAAATTATTTGCAAAATATAACAACGTAATTTAATATATAATAGTATCTTTGTTAACAAACCTGTATAAATATCATGAGAATTAAATGCAAACAGATGCATATAAAATTTTATTTTACGGATTTATATTAATTAATTATTGAGATGAAATTGAGAGAAAATATAAATTGAGAGAAAATATAAATTATTTACAATTTTCATTAAAATTATATATGGAATTATATATTAAAAACTTACTTGTTTTTTTATGACAATTTTGTCACTTTGAATATGTATTTTATTTATACAATACAAAAAAATTGTTACGTTTTTAGTGTAATATATATTATTTTTACTAATACTTCGATCAAGATATCGTATTTTTGATGGATGCGATCGGTGCAGAATAATTTTGCAAATTCATACGATGAGTCTATTTCCTATATTTTCATCGAGGCATTCACGCGCTTTATGGTTCTTTTGAAAAAAAGTGCTTGTGCTCGACGATTCGGCTTGCGCACTAGCGAATTTTCGCCGTCGCGAAAAAGGGCTCATCTGGGATCAAAAGGTAGATCTCGGATTGGTCCCAAACGCGCACGGTGCTCGCGCAGCAACCGCCTTCTTTGACCCCTCTATCTCGAAACTTTATGCCAGTAAAACGATGGTCGCTTCTCTCTTTCCTGTTCGCGCTTTAGCAATGGATAAACGCTTCTGCCACATGAAGAACATCATGAAAAAGTACCGCAAAACACTTCTTCACGCGTTTAGCGAACTACGCGCAGTGGTTCTCATTATACTTCAGAAATGTCACACTTCTTCTTTAGATACACTCGGCCTCTCATGGATATAACTTCACAATTCATTAGTGACAATATGCAGTAAATAAACATATGTAAATTTTGCTTACGCAAAAATCTGAATTAATTTAACAATATATTTAATATACTTTTTCATATTTCAAAAATTTACAATTTAACCCACAAGAGAAGACAAGTTTTCGGCAACAGTTGAAAAATGAATACTAAAAAATTTTGAAGTATAATCAAATAAAAATAAAAATAATATCTTCCGCATTGCGTCCTTTTGTACGATCCGAGATTTCAATATTCGGCGTTGATGATAGTCCTTATCGTGCTATTTCTGTTTACAGGCATGGTGTGGCGGCCATTTTCGCGAATGGCGCGTCCATTAGTCTCCAGGCTACCCGTGCCAATCTCAATGTTCATCCTTGCGCGCCGTAAATCCACTCGGCTCCACGCTTCCGCAGCTAAAAGGACCAATGGCGATTGTGAGCCCTTTCTACCGCGCGGCTCCTCGTCATCGATCCTCTCCCCGATCCACGTCTGAGTTATTTCGTCTTTGTGGAAGAACGTATATCATTCTTTTCATATACATTATATACCTCAGCATGCAGTGTCGTATTCTGGAAACGCAGTCATTATTAACCTTTCAATATTCTTCGCTTAGATTTGGATAACGTAACTATTATGTTGAAAAAAAATTTAATTTCGCGATATAAATCATACAATGAATTATATTAATTCTAAAATACAATCGAGAGTTAGTTAAACAATTAAACAATTAAAAAAAAATTTTTTTCTATTTTAAATATAATAAAACTTGAGATTTAATTTGAAAAAGAAATAATAATCATTTTGGAAAAAATGATGTAGAATTTGTTTAGATATATCGGAAATAAAATAATATGGACAGAAGAGATTCCAAATTATTTTAATTTCATTATTTTTTAATATCTTTCTGACTCTGAATCGCAATTTCTTCTTTATTATGAGTGGGTTATTTCTACGTTTAGACATAAATTGTCTAACTCGTCTCGCATTGCACACGCTTTTTCGCATGTTGATTATACACGGGGTTGAACATTTTACACATACTTGCGATCGCGACAAATATTGAATCTTAAATACAGTGAAGTGAAATGCGCTTAAGGCGCGTCTTAGGTGCGAAAAGAGGAAGTAACGACATGGTCAACGCACACGTTAATTTACGACCGAGGACATTACTTCCTGGAAACTAGCGTGGACGCTTAAACGTTCCTTCTAAACCTTCCTTAATAACTACGTGCTTTTAAAAAAATTTTTTTAAACCGCGAATCAAAATTAACAAGTAACAAGACCGCACAAGATAAAAATTGTTTACATTTTATTTGCGATCGTGATCCGATTGACGTGGACAGCTTCCGATTCGACATACGCTTGGATAATACTTGGCGAATTATTTGCAATTTGTTTGCTTTATATGCCATCCACGGAGGCGTACACCCTCCGCAAATGTTTCGAATAAACGATCCATTTGCTCGCTGCGAAGTTTACTCTCACGTTTGATGCACGCTGCGCCACGTAATTGAAACGATCAATCAAACACCTGAGAAAAGGAGGGTGAGCTCACGCGTGCACAAACCGCACCGCAGGTCGCGTTCACGCAAAAGGGGAAGTGCGAACACTCGACTATGAGCGATTAAGAATTGCATCTTCGTCTACGTCCCCTTGAAAATATTTCACAATGTACATTCTGTATATAAAGAATATTAAATTTGAAAGATCATGGAAGATCGTAATATCCAATTTATTCATCAAAATTATCTTCTTTATTTCTTTGCGTACAATTAATTATATAATTTTTGAGGGGATATATTTAATGTTATATTTCAATGAACAAGAAATAAGTAAAAAAGAAGCTAGATATAATTTTCGTATATTTTTATCTGGCAGTTGTGCAGCCACGACACCATTAATAATCGCGTGCGAAACGTTTATTTCAGTCGGTAGGACGGGACGCGAGGGACGCGAGGATTCTTTCGAAACTGCGCGATTAATTTTCAGTAAGCTCGGCGTATAACTGGCCGCTTTTGGTGTGTGTACAGATATAGCCACTCTCGCGAGATATTAGACAGGTGAGCGCGTTCCCAGGGGAACAAAGGCCCCATTACCCTGTCTTACCACCTCGACCCGGGCGGACGTCCCGACAGACCCTCCGCTCTTGAAACATTCATAAGAGCGTTGTAAGTGGTTTTTAATAAACGTATTTAATCATGAGTGTCGGATTACGGATTAAATCGGTGGGCGCTGTCACCAATCGGGAGGATTAGTCATGAATCTAAACAGATGTCCGTGCCACTCGCTTTTCGCACAGGTATGCGGGTGTTTTGTCTCTAAGTTTTAATGTCGGCATATCACTTTATTCTGCAGCTTCATTGTTTTTAATTATAACTCAAACTAAAAATATTACATTTCATTTAATACTGAGAAAAATGTTTGGTTGGATTAATTGGAATTCTGTTAGGAGATGAACGAAACAGAATTTTCAGCTCAAATCTGCTAAATTGCTGCTTAAATCTACTATAATTTTAGTTGAGTTAATCAGAATTCCGACATTATTGATATAATTCTGATTATATTCATATATCATCACTCTTCTGATTTGTCCATTTCAACCAGATATTTTTCTCAATAAAGTAATATAATTTTTTTTAAATTGAGATTATAACTTAATAAATACTATTTTTAAGATAAGCTACATAATTCAAAAATAATATGTGTGTAAACTTGTTCATAACATAATCCTGTAATAAGTTTAAATTCATTAAATATCAGATCTTAAATCCATTAAAGATCAAAAATCCATTAAATATTTTGTTCTATGTTTTTGATTATATATAATTTAATTATTTATTATTAAATCTAACATCTTCATTAACTTTGGAGAATTAATTTAATTGGTAATTAAATTTGAATGCATCTAGTAGTCTTTTTTGATGAAATTATTAATAGTACTGATGTAACACAGTTTTACGGTCAAGGCAATATTACAGTTAAGGTAATTATTTCTAGCAGAGAAGCGGATTATTACAAGAGCGTGTCGCCTTCTCTTCAGTCACGGTCTTTCCATCTCCGCATTTCAGTGACAACTCTCAGTGGCACAACAGGAATAGCACTAGAAAATTTTTCCAGTGAAAAATATTTATCATACAAACTTACGAAATTATGTATCTCTTCGAAATTTTTTTTGTAATTTATGTGGTATCGGCTCAAGAGTGTTTCGACGATGGCAACGAGTTTTGTATCAATCAAAACGACATACTTTCCGTGGATCTTTTACCTGGATCATTTTTATTTAACGATCCATATAAAAATTATAATGTTTCCAAGACAGCGACAAACGAAACGATAGATGGATCTTTTGACAAAGCGTTAAATGAGATGGATTATCATAGGTAAACGTATTATTTGATTTGAGAATCAACAAACTGTGGATAGGCACTGTCAAATTAATCGATACATGAAATTAGGAAAAGAATGAATGAATATCTTTGTCACGGCTATATGGCAGAAGAAATTTTCAAGGAAGTGAGCACTCCTAGAGTGAAACGACATCCCGAATCTCTGCCAACTAATAATGTGCATCACACTTTCTTAGGCAATGACAATGTCACGATACATGATAAACTTCTGGCGGATGAAGGAAGCTCGAAGTATAAAAATTGGTTGCAACGGTAAGCATTTAGAAATCTTTAAATTTTTTATAATCCAAATAATGAATTAAAATAAGTCAATTAAAAAACAAGCTTATATTGTATATTTTATTAAAAAAAAAAACATATCTTCCTTACGAAAGGAATCTTTTATTAATTAAAATTTTTTATTAACAAATTTAATATAAAATATTTTTGAAAAAATAAATATTTAAATTTTTGTTGAGTTAAATTTAACTAAAAATATTTAAGAGGCAAACATTATTTAAGAAATACGTTCCACTTTTAACACTTGTAATATCTTCCTAATTTTATTGCTCTATTCTATAGAATATTATATAATAATAATAAAGTATTTTAAATTTCTGACATATTTATAATAGAACGACTACATTAAACGACGTGTATCGACACGTCGCTCCCCATAAAAAGATTAAAAAGAAGCAAGATGACGATATTGAAGAGTTCGATGGTGAGGTGACGGGTTATGCAATGCAAGCTCCTATGCCATCAAATGGAAAAGTGGGCATTTATGAACCATCCCATAACGGTAGATTGCAAAAGTTATTGCGAAACTATAATACCTTACAAGAAATACTTAACGAGATGTGATATTTGTACATTCCACGAATAGATGACATGTTATCGTCATCATCGGGACATCATTTTCATTATGGACCTCCATTTGGATACCATCATGTTAGTCACTTTGGACATCATGGTGACTTCTTTCCATCCATTCATGAGGAATATTATTATCCACCGAATCATCATGAACATCAGGAAGAAGAACATAAACCCTCTTACTCTAAGGGAAAAGGCCACGACCTTTCGATCAGTGATTTTTTTGAAGTCGCGCTCACCGCGCTTGCATTCTTGGCATTTGGGCTATTTCTCATTCAGTTATTGATGAATTGCACGGTACTAATGAAAGCTATCTTATAAAAAAAGTGCAATTATTTTTCAAAGTGTTTATCTAATGAAAATATTTAATACAGAAACTGTATAATTTTTATTTATGTACTTCAAGAAAAGCTTAAAAGTGTTTTTCACATTTTAGAACAATAATGGTATGAGTAGACGATTAACTAAGCGACATATAATTTCTTTCTCCTCGTCTGTGGCAAGCAATGAAGAGTTGAATGATCTAGCCTTTCGCGTTTTAAAGTCTATCGAAGCAGTTATGATCGCCGAAGCAGATTCTGGTAATTGTTTGCGCAGAATATTATGTGAAGATAATCAATTTTCCAAGGAAACTAACGACGATCGTAGGATTTGGATTCCCGTTTGGAGGTAAATTGCATAATAATAATTATCAACGAATCTTATAAGTTGAACACAAAATAATAATATATCACTGATCATAAATTCTCAGAATGTTCTTAAAACATCATTATAGTGTATCATTTCTTATATTCTTAGAACATTTACATGATATATTTATTATATGTTTTCAAAATGTGCTCAGAACATTCGTATACTATATCATTTTATGCATATTCTTAAGATATTAAATAATTAAATTTTTATTTATTTGTGCTTCATATATCATTTCGCACATATTTTTAGAATGTATTAAATTTTCAAATTTATTTATGCTTCGTAAATTGATCGATACAATATCAATAGTCGGTGATGCAAAATTATGTCCTTAAACTGGTAAAATTGACGCCCTCTTTTTCAGCTTGGGCATGAGTTGGTTATCGGGTAGAGTGCTGCATAAAACTCCATGGTCGGCAATGTTGGATTCTGTGAAGGCGTCCATACTGGGGTTAGGTGGAATTGATTGCGCTTCTTTTTACCCTGGGTGTGATCTTGAGAAGGAAAGGATTAAGAGACGTCGCAGGAGAAGGAAATAAAAATCGATGCTTTATAAAGTTTAAAAAAAATTTAAAGAAAACTGAATTAAATAACAATATTTGAAAGGATCTTTTACGCAATTTATTATTTACAATAATGTAATTGCAATAGTTGATATTTTGTATCAATTTATCGATTTATAAATAATATTATAGTAATGAATAAGATAATCACGTGTTATTGTCATTGTATCACTAATTACTATTGTTTATTCTTGTTTTTATCTTGAATATATTTATTATTGGCATTACGAATGGGCAGAAGTGTTGCATATGTAGATCCACTGGGGGATACGTGGAAAACATTTCTGTTACCTCTAACTTGCAATGGTTGACAATTTGATAAAATTGGCATTTTTCGTTCATTGCACAATGTTCGGAACTCCGCAATCTTGCAAAATGGAGACATTATTACGTGGAGTGAATTGATTACATGATAATTTTATATTTTATTTAATTTTCATTTATACCAGCTACTTACTTAGCTTGATCAACTTACTTGCTCGACAGATATTCCTAATGGTTTCCTGCTGATTAACCAAAGTATTTTATGTTTGATATTTGCCATCATTATGGAACCCCAATAAACGAAGTAATCATTTTGAAAGCGTTTCATAATATTTGCTATAGGGAAAGGTATTAAACGGATGGAAGAATGAGCTGCTTGGACAAAGGGTAATGCATTTATGATATCATCCAAAAGTGGATTAGGGGCTGCCTGTAGCTACAATAATATCTCTAAGATGTACTTATCACCTTCTTAATATCTAAAGACATATTTTTGCTCCAATTCTGAAGTTATATTATTTATTTAAAATATATCAAAAAAATGATACGTGAAAATTAATATAATTTAGCATCACTACGTAACTGAATTTATTTATTTGATATAAAAAGATATACATTTTTAATACCTGAAATAAATATACCAAGATGGTAACACCACCATTTTGACGAAGAGCTGCTATTTGAGTTTCGTAATCACCTCTATAATGTACTGCATGCATTTCCATCGGCATACTTTATGAATAAATAAATTTAAATTAAAAGAATAAGCAAATTTAATTTATGAATACAAAAAGTAAAACTAAGACCTTCCACCGTCGATATGGTGTTCACTGCCGTCCATGTCAGTCTTGCCCCAATGGAAATGGAGCTGCGAAAAGACATAATCGCCGACATAAGGGCCACTGCACAAATACGGCATTTCTGCGCGCCATGTTGCACTAAGCATTACTGTAAACAATAAACGTAATTATTTTATCAGAAGCAAACATTTAGATTGCTCATAAGATTCTCATCTTTTACCAGTGTATCCAGTGTTGGTGATTTTTAATTTTTTTGGCGTGACATTATAGTTAAACCACTGTAAAGGATTTAATTTAATGACTTTCATTTGGCTGATATTCAAGTCGATCGGTGATCTCAATTTACCATCAGTATTACTTAATTGTTGTATAAATCTAACCAATCTAATCAATCTAACCGTTTCTTCATTCGATTCATTAGTATCTATATATATAATTAGCATAAAAAAAGACAGTAATAAGAATTCTAATATAAAATGTGATGTAAAATTATATCACACCTGTCAAATAATTCATATCTGTATGCTATATATTACTGGGAAATTTATATAAATGCTCCAAACATGATATTTGATATGATTTTGCCTGTACAATTTTGCTTTGCTTGAACTTCAATGCAAAACATTTTATCGATATCAAACATCATCGATAATAAAAGTACATTCCATCCTTCAAACAAAAGTGCATTTTTAGGAAGAGAAAAGGAAAAGGCAAACGAAAATAATAGGAAAATAAGATAGGATTAAATTCTCATTCAAGAAGATAAGACGTTTAATATTTGATATTTCTAGATGAGATATGAAATAATTGGTTGATCTTTTAAAAATGGATTTTGAACGGAAAATCGGTAAATCCGATAAGCGTCGAACTTGGCAGAAAAAACGCCAACCACTTGTAACGACTAGAGATAACCTTCTTTCCGGGGATACATCCTTTTCGGAAGATCGTCGTTTCATAAATTGGAAAAAATGGCTCGCTGATCGGAAGAAGCAGACTCGTCGCATCGAATCAATTACCGGTCGTTCGCAGGCCGATCAACTGCAGAGTTCCTCGGAAAGGTTTCGCGCTTTCGTTGAGATGAAAAATTTGATGGAACACGCCGCCATACCGGTACCAGTGATCGCCGATAAATATCGCGGTGGGCCGGAATTTTGGAAAACGTTCGAATTCCTGCCGGAACGCGGTGATACTTGCGTGCCGGTATTGTCATTGACTCCTAGCAGAAGAGATCTGAATCTTCCTCCGGATTTAATGCACGTTGGATTGCCAGATTTAATAGCAAAGGAACGGGATCTCGTTGCTTTAAAACTCAAAGACGAATCTTGGAAACGCAGTGATTATCTAAAGGCTCGTAAAATCGAACTTGCTGAGAAAATTGCATTGCTGCTGCCTAAGGAACCGGAAACAGCACGATTGGTCATTCAAGGACATGCCTATCAGAAAAAGAACAACCGTTATTACTATTCCGAATTCCGCTGACGACTATCATGGAGTCTGAGGACGAGTTATGTGAAGATGCCAATCAGGCGGTAGTTCTGAAGATTCAAGATCGAGAATTCGTCTGGAGGAAATCCTTCTTTGAAACAGAATCGACAGACGCCGATCCTATCATGTGGTCTCTATCTTTCACAAGTAAGATCAATGAACGGATAGAAAGAGAGATTGTCCTCGAGAATAAAGGAACCCGCGTTATCGTATATCATTGGCGAGACTTGCCCTTTCGGTCGTACGGCGTATTCTTAGAGATACGCGGCAGTCCATTTTTCTTCAACAAGACAAAAGAACTTATACTTCCTGGGCAGATCGTGAGGATCAAGGTATGGTATCGATCCAGAACGAGCGGAGTCTTCACCGAGTTCTGGCGTTTAGTCACAGACCCGATATTAAGTTCCTCGACCTTCGTATTTCGATTCTGGGGTTGTACAAAAGATAGCGCAGAACTGACTGATTACCGAATGATTGACGAATATCTCGATTGTCGCATTCGTGATTCGACGATACATTCAATCATCGAAGAAATTATGGACAGAATAGATTACGAATCGGAGCTGCCTCATGAGACATCATTTTCGCAAAGTGACGTGTTCATCTCTTTAAATCCTCATTATTATTATCATCCAAGTATTGTGATGCAATTACAAGCAATATATTCCGATGTCACCGATGATGATACGTCATCCTGGAATTTGTCACTGCATACTTTGCGAGATATTATTTTAGAAATAAAAGATTCAGATTACAGACGTGATATGCTCGCTCGATTTAATGATCTTTGTAATCAAAGTCTCAAACCAAACCTGACTGAGCCTGATGTTACATATAGTAGTAAGTATAACGCTGTGTATAATATTTTGTGTACTTTTGCAAATCTTTTTGAGGATGAAAGTGAATTCGTGAAGAGAAACAATTTGATACAAGAGCCGATAAAAATGAAACAGAAACAAATGCCTTTGTCTCAAAAATCCAATAACAGTTTACAAAAAGAACGTGGCGAAAAGTTAACTAAGCAATCAGAAGATGTACAAGTGCATACAGAAAAGGAAAATTCCGATTTAAATTTGCGACGTTACAGAGAAATATTCTTCGTTCGTATATGTAAAGCTTTAGAAGAAGCAATAGAACAAGTTTGCGCAAGTATCGATTCTTTTCATTAATCGATGAAATGAAGCTTGAAATAAAATGCAATTATATATAATTTTAGCAAATTTTAGAACAAATAATAAACCAATAATCTTTTAATGCGTATAAAAAATATTGTACATATTTAATGTTTAATTACATAATATATTTAAGAGATTCTTTCATTTTACATGTGTTATAAAAATTTTAAGATTTAAAAAATTACAGATTTTAAACATTTGAAATAATTTATATAGTTTATATAATATATATATATATATATATATATATATATATATATATATAGTAGTTAATTT